AGAGAGAGAGAGAGAGAGAGAGAGAGAGAGAGAGAGAGAGAGAGAGATGAATAAAGAAACAAGCACATCACTGACATTTTGAACAGCCTAGTACTTTTAAGTAGGAATAATATATGCACATGCTCACACACACACACACACACACACACACACACACACACACACACACACCCACACACACAGAGTGCCTTCCTAGCGCCTAGGGATGCATAGGTTGCCAAGCAACAAGGTGGTGTCCTAGAAAAAATGTCCAAGGCTGAAAACAAAGTGGATGCGGGTTCAACGCAATAACTATTGATTACAGTTAATGGTTCTACTGTACTCCAGTCAACTGTTTTTGTTTCTATTTCAGTCCTTTCATTTAGTGAACACAGAGTCTTGTTTCACATATTGACTACAGAGGATCAATCTTAATCCAGTTGGAGTCACGTGAGCTTCACGTGAGCGTAGTATCATGTTGGAGTTTCCTTGTTTTCCTGAACACAAATAATCTCTGCTGTGTGAACGCAGACACACTGCAGCTGCTTTTTCTGTGGTAATATAAACTCAGCTGCCAGTTTATTAGTCACATCCAGATCAAACTAATGCAGAACAGTCCTGCAGTAAATCCTACCTTCATGAAGAGTATAATGCAAAATATAAAAATATAAAATTATAATGTTTTTGGTGAAACTTTTTTTTTTAGAGAGATGTTGATTCAACTGTATTAGGGGGTGTGTGGTGCTGTTGTTACATTATACAAAGGTGTTTCTGTTATTTAGCTACCTACCTCATTGATATAAATAGGGTGGTCAAAATATTAGAAATATAACATGAAGGTAGGATTTATTGCAGGACTGTTGTAGTTCACTGTCGACTGCAATGGCTTTAGCTAGATGTATCTAAACCACTGCCAACTGATTGTAAATCAACTCAGCTCCAGACTACACTTCAGTATGCTACACACTTACTTACTTCCCTTAAGGGGCTTTGGATAAACAGTGCTTAACTGTTTATATCATCAGCAGTTGCCTGCATGCAGGGATCTATTTGGAAGAGGACGAGAGTGGATTAGCATCCCCTTTGTTTGCAAAAAGTCATTCAGATTGTCTGTTTTTATTCAAAGATGAGAGTGGAGAATAATCAAAACAATTCCGCTCACCACGCTTGATAAAAAGAATTGAGCAAACACTTGCATCTGGCTTGCAGTGTGTCAGATAACCATCTGGCCGGAGGTCACCTTGTATCCACTCTGGTGTCTGGAGATACAGCCGCACTCCAGCTACAGTACACTGACCCACTGAAGAGGTCAACTGTGCTATTATGAACCGTGCCATGTTTGCCTGTTCATTCTGTATTTGCTTTAAGTCCTTCATTTTCATTGTTATATTGTATGTTGTACATAAATGTGTATTTGCTTTCTCGCAGAAATAGATGAAGATCGTCTCCCAAACCAGTTGTACAAGGTAATTTAATTCATGCTCTTTAAGGGTCCATTTTATCTGAATAAGGTTACAGAAATAGAATTATGGGAATTCTATTTTTTTTTTAAATTGACTGCGTCTGTTTTAAAACGATCTCCTCAATCTTTGTGCTTTCTGACCAGCTAATAAGAAACATTGATATTTTACAGGCAGCCTTGTTAAACTCCCCTCGACAACGGCGAAAAGGGCCAAAGGGAACACCTACAATGAAAGGTAAAGTGCATTATAGTTACATGTGTGATGTTGGCATTTTATGAGTTAGATCACAAAACTGCCATCAAAGTATTGCAGTACTTGTATTTTGTTGATTGACAATACACTCCAATTAGAGACCACAAAGCATCTTTTGGCATATGACCGTATAGGCCTTGTCTTGCAATTTGTACCACCTCATATAATAACCATCAAAGCCAAACTGAGTCTCTTATGGCTCACATGACCGAGGTCTGGAGAAGATGAAATACAAGAGAAAACGATGTTGATGTTGTTGGCAGTTGTCATTATTCTGATCAGTCAGAGTCGAAGGTGAAGTAGGGTACAGCTGTTCATAGCTGTAGGGACAACAAGGAGGTTGCAGTTGGTACAATTTGTGAGTAAGTCAAACCAAACTAGTACGATAGCCTATGCTGCCACACAAGTCCTGTCAAGTCAAGTATGTGGCCCAACGTCTCAATAGGCTGTACAAGCCTACAGCAGCCGTTCACAACCCAGGGAACAACATCGCTGCAGAATATCAAAAACAAACTTGGGAGAGGCGCTTTTAAAAGATCCTGTGCGACCAGCTGAGTGTGCAATAACAGAAGTACAAAGGATGGTAATAACAACAGACGTTGCAACAAGAATGCCACTGTTTATGATTCTGATTCTGATTCCAACAATTGGAATATCAAAAGTCTAATAATGATACAATCACCAATGTGAATGTAATAAAGTTTAAAGGACAGGCCATGTGCATGTCCATCAACATGTGCATTGAAACTGTTTTTGCTTGCTGTAAACTCTCTCTACAGTTAATGTTACTACTTTTCCAATCGAAGCTCGGAAAGGAAACATATTAAAAAGTAACTTTGGAAGATGTGGCTAACTCAGACTGTTGAAGCCTCATTTCAACTTCAGCTGAACTTTAGACAGCATTTTTGCTCAGAATGAGAACTGTTCCTTCTCTATATGGGAAATATGGACAAGAGAGACTAAATCTGTTTCAACATGGGCACGTCAGTATTGTTTTAAGACAAAATGTAAAAAATGTCAACCTTTAATGTGATACAGCTATTAGCATGTCCAATAGAGTCTAGGAAGTCAGAAGTCAGGCAACGTAAACTTACTTGGTGAAGTAGCTGAGCTAATGATTGGAGTTTGGTCTACCCTGAGTGTCCTATTTCAACCCTGGAGTCAGTCAGTGCTGCACTTGCCTTTGGGGGCACTCATTATCCCGACCAGAATTTCTCCCAATTTCCATTTTTTAGCTACAAAGTGTGTCTTTGTGAGATTAGGGCACAAGGGGTCCTGTACCACCGAAAGAAAACCTGAAGATGATTGCAAAACTGCACACACAGAGCCCAGAACTTGACTATTTCTGTAGGCAGTTTTTTTTGTTTTTAAAACTGCAATGCAATGAAATATAATTTGAAGTGTTTAACACAAATACATAGTGTAATGATTTATGCAGTACAACAGTGAATAAGTTCCAACAAAGAAACCAAAGCAAAGGAACAATAATGAGAAGATAAGTAAAGGTTTGTGCTATTGGAGGTTTATTCTTCAATTAGTTTCACAGCTTAACAGCTTCCAGTGTGATGAGTCGCTTCTTAAAGGAAACAGGCGATAATCGGTGTGCTTTAGATTCCCACTGCAAGACTTATGAGTAATAAAACCGTGGATGAAGGAAGGTGAAGAAAGCGATTAAACAAATCATCTCCCAACTCTAATGTATCTTTACCTGCCCCCTCACTTCAAACACTGCTGGATGTTAATTAAATCTCGCTAGTTCATTAAAAATGCTCAACCTACAATATTCTTTTGAAGTGCTGGATTTCATTGAGTCTCCTCCTTCATCTCTCTTTACTGTTCAGAACATGTCTTTTCTCCCATTGGTTCCCTTCATCTCACACAACTTTCTTTTCTTGCTTGTCCTCCGTCTTCCAACATTTCCCCAATGATTTTCTGCTTTTTACTTTCCACTCTTTCCTCCAATCCACTCCTCTCCCCTCTCATCTTCCCTCTCCTTCCCCTGTGAGCTGTTCCCTCTCAACCAACTTTTCTTTTCCCTGCTTCTCCCTCACCTCTTTTATCTCCACCTCCCTCCTCCCAGAGCTGCAGTTCATGGTAGAGCATCACCTGTACAGGCAGCAGCAGGGAGCCGGGGACGATTGCTCCTCAGAGAGCTGCCTGTCGGACCGGCCCAGCCCCGACTCCTTTCCCCCCGGGGAGGAGCTCCCACACGATGATGAGGCCACTGCAGAGGCCTTTGAGAAACTGCGCTGCCAAATGGAGGGTATGTTTGGAGTCTGTAAGGATTTTATCTGCATGTCTACTGCATTGTATCTCCCTATTCAGCAACACCAACCTCCTTTAAAACCTACAACACGAACAAGAATACTCTTTACCTTAGAATATGTTCATGTATTTTTCCTCCACACAATTTAAACGAATCGCGTAGGAAGTAGAGTGAGTATTTGTCAATTTGGATTTTCAAAATATGTCTTGGGCAAAAAGTGTCGAAAAAAAACGGATACCCAAGGATATGAGGATGCTAGAGGGAAGGAGGGACAGATAAGGAGGCCTCTGAAAAATAGATGGTGTGGTTCCGTGAGAAGGGAGCAGATGGAGGGACAAGATGAGACCTTTTTCATAACAATTAATATTAAGGAAGGATGTAGAATTGGGAGAAAATGGTAGCGGTAAAGTTAAGCAGAAAGCTGAAAAATGTCTGGAAGGGGTGTATGTAAAATGCATGATAGGCTTTGGGAGTTAGAGGGAAATTAAAAGAAGTGAAACAAAAAGATTGGGGTAAACACTTTTACTCACAATTCAACACATTCTCACATTTGTTTGTTATGTACAAAATGTTAGTGTAAAAATGACAATACCAGTGTTACGTGCACATGTGTGTCATTATTTCACATTGTTTGTATAGATTAAAAACATTTGATGTAACATTGTTATAATTATTGAGTTTCAGAGGATCTGGTATGTGGATTTAGTTTTCTTTGGACTGAGCCAAGCTAGATATTTCCCCCTGTATCCAGTCTTCATGCTAAGCTGAGCTAACCGGCTGCAGGCTGTAGCTTCACATTTAGTGTACAGACTCAAGAGTGGTATCGACCTTCTCCTCTAACTCTCAGTAAGAAAGCGTATAATTGAACCATTCATTTAATGAAAACACTTACATGGTTCAAAGTGCCACCTTGGCAGTCTCCTGTCATTACCAAAGACCTTAACACCTGATGAGAAAAAACAGGGAATCAGCTTTTCAACTCAAGCCAAATAATTCACTTTAATGGCAGGTGAGTAGATGGTTACTGAGCGCAGCACATACTGTTCACATACTCAGTAATTACCCAGCACTAATGCATTAGGAGGGCTGCTTTTCTGTCACCACGCCGGCGATAGCCGCAGCCTGAGGCATTATGTTTTCGGGTTGTCTGTCCATCCGGTCCATTCTCGCCAGCACAGTGTCTCAGGAGCGACTTGAGCAAATTTAATCAAATCTGGCACAAACATCCAACTGGATTCAAAGATGAACTGATTAGATTTTAGCGGTCAAAGGTCACTGTGATTTCACGTCCGTCCCATTTGCGTGAATACGATATTCTATTCTAGTTGTTGATATTATCTATTTTACATTTAATTCACTGGGACACAACAACAAAAACATACTCCATTGTAAAGAGATGACTCTGTTTTGTATGGATTGCTCCCATTTTATGAAGGAGCTTCTAATAAAGCTCTGAGAACAGATGAAAGGAGCAAAGGGGACCATGGGGGAAACAAATCAATGACCATTAAAACGAGTCCAGTCGAAGTTGGCTTCCCTTTAATAAGATCAGCCATTTGAATTCATGCCGTGACTAGAAAACATGCAGCTCTAAATGTCAGCTGACATTGATTATTCAGACAAGGTGGTGAAGTTCTTTATTCTAACATAATTTAACAGAGAATATAGGAATAGAGTATTTTATCCCCACTGCTGTGTGATGGAAAGTGTATGGTCTCTTCTCTACTTCATCTTCATCTCAACCTCCATTTGTCTCTCTGCCCCCTGCAGAGTTCTCGAGGGAAAGTCTATTAGAAGCTGCTGGAGGGCTCGAGTGCCCCCTCTCCCAGGAGAAGGAGGATTGCTCCAGCATTGCCAACGTAGCAGATCCCTCATCGCAACAAAACAACGCACCAGGTAGAGTCAAAGGAGCCGTGTTTACAATCCTGTCCCTCAGGGGACTCTTCATCACCCGGTCACCAGGCGGGGTTTCGATATGTTAACAGTTCAACAGGCTTGGCTCTGTGACATGTAATCATGGCTTGTCAACAAACACCTGTGAAGTGGCACAATTATCAATGGAAAGATAATATTGAATGCACAGATTGATGAAAGATGCGTCAGAGCGATTTCAAAATGTCCCAAGATCATTTGTGAGGTAAGACGCTCCACTCTGTAACATCACTGTAAAATCGTGTACAGATTGTTTTTTTATGGTTCAAGAACTCAAACAGAGTGAGGCGTCTTCTCTCTTGCTGATTGTGTCACGACTCGAGTCACGTCCTCCCAGTTAGTCTTTCATTCTTATGTAAACTAGTATCCCAACAACATCATTTAATGATGTGCTTGCAGTAACTCTAGCTTATGGAAGCTACTTAGCTGGACATGTTAACGAGCAGATAAACACACTGTTTGATACATCTCTTATCCCCATTACACTTTTGTGTTTGAATTTCTGGTTTTGACGAAGTAAAAACAAGACATTGCCCTCTTAAAATGTATCACTCTTATTCCAGCCACATGAACATTGGTTAAGAGATCTAATGCTTCGGGGCTTGTTATATTCATTTGGACCTTTGTTTCTATGTAGTTAAACACCAAGCAACAGAAAGCTGTCTTTCTCCATTTGGAGAAACAATGTTGGAATAGTAGTGTTCACAATTATTTGTACTGTGCCTCAGTATTTTACGTTTATATTTTTCAGACACAAAAGCAGCAACATCCAGTGTGAATCAGCCGGCAGAGGAGAAGACGAAGAAATGCATTCTGAAGAAAGAGAAATAGAGCGGTCTTCTGAAACACAAAGCTGCTCAGTCTTCTCAGCCAGCCCAACACAATGACAGAAGATTGTGTCTGCAAATCCACTTTTTAGGTACATCAGGGCATCTATGTTCCTCTACAGTCAGGTTTTAGTTACCACCCCGAGAACATGAACAAAGTTTTCTACACTTATTTACACTTATAAAGATCCTGTGAGAATGATTTAATCATGATTATACGCCAAACTAAAACTAGCTTACTGTATGTGAACCAGACTGGGAGATACTATCTAGTTAATGGGAAAGAGAGAAAGTCTTTTTCTGTCTCTGTCACACAGTCATTATCATAAACTACCACCACTTAGGCTACGTGCACAATGTCCCCTGTTCAAAGGCAACAAATCATTTTTGTGCCATTTTATCGTTAATGTGCCATGACTCTTTCAATTATTGTTCCATCTCAAAGCAATAAAAATGTATTTGTACCTCATAAATAACAGGGGTCGAGACCACTTTTAAATTCAAATCATTTTAGTAAGTTAGATGCTGAGTGAGTGAGTGACACATCTGGGTTGATTGACAGTTTAAAGTTTCAATTACTTAATTGGACAGCTACAAATTCATCCTTACAGTACAACTCAAATACAATTACTGTTATGTCATTGTATTGCTACAACATGTAGAGCTGCAACAATTAGTCAATTTATCAATTTACAGAAAATGAATCTGCAAATATTTTAATATTCCATAAATTAATTTTTTTCAGAATAATTCCATATTTCTCTGGTTCCAGCTTTGCCAGTGTGAGGATTTGCTGGTTTCCTTGGTGGTCTACTATTATAAATGAAATAGTTGAGGGTTTTGGACTGTTTATTGGACAAAACAAGACATTTGAAAACGTCATCTCAAAATCATTTTTATCTGTTTTCAGGAAAATAAGAAAGATTCTTTGCTGAAAAAAATCCCTAGTTGTAGCCCTAACAGCATTACACATCTGTTCAGCTAATTAGTTGTCTTGTGTTCAACTTTGAGAAAAAAAAAAAGCAGAAATCAAAAGAGAGAACTTTTTATTGATTTGTTGCAATAATGCTCTGGTCTTCATTATACATCATATTTGCATAAAACAGTAACCTCTTCATTCGAACGGCCAGAGCAAAGCCTGCAACACAACATGAGCTGCAAACTTTAACAACAACCCACATCAGCTGTCGTGCTTAACTCTTAAATGTGAACACACGTCTTGTCCTGCAATTTAGCTTGTTGGATGAGCGACCAAACATTCAGAAGAGAAGATTGCTCTGGCAAAGTCAGATTGCAGGCTTTTTAGGTAACTAGCTGCTCTGCTGCAGCACATTTAACAGCATGTAAACGTACATGCAAATGTGCAGTTAGATGATGGTGTGGTATTTACTCTTCAATACCACTGCTAACAACATGCTGTCTGCTCATGGTGTGGAGGCTACCAGGTCATTTCTTTTAGTTTGTCTCTCCAGAAGTCACCTACTAGCTGCTGTCAATCAAACACAGACGCGCCCCCAACTACTGAGAGGAAATGGAATATTTCTGATATTTTTATTCCTTTTAATAATAAGAAAAACTTTAAAACACATTTAAAATAAACAAAAACATTTTGACATTCATTTTGACTGCATGAAGGGATAACTAAATGTGATTTCTGTTGGACTTCAATGTAGCAAGTAATTACTGCTAATATCCCAATTAACAATGAGTCTGATTACAGTAATATACTAATAACCAAAATGTACAAATTGCACCCACTTTTTAACACTTGAATGCTTTTCTGGAAACTAAATGCTATCAAAAAACCTTTTCTGCATGGCACTGGATGAACAGTGACTTCTCTGTACTATGCTTTCATTTGTAGGGGAACTTATTTCAACAGAGAATCAAACATTTAAAATACCAGACAACGATTTTATTGACTGGCATTCCCTTTTCCTTTTCCTTTTGTTTGAAACAATGCCATTATAAAGTTGTCAACTCACTCTTAAATGTTATTTCATCTGTTATTTGTATCACTGAAGTGGCATTATTATGTACAGTAGATTATGTGACAATCCTTTCATGACACTCACATGAACACTTGACATGCCTGAAAGAAATAAAACAGACTGAAACAGTAAACTAAAGCCACTCTAGTATTGATAATTGCAATGACCACAATGAACAAGAAAGACAATGAAAACATTCCTGTGCAAGCTTTTGTTTTCTTCTTCTGCAGTATATTTATGGACCATGTAATGTTTGTTCTGTTTTTGAATGGTAATAGTGTACTTTACATGGATTTAATCTAGGGAGTTTTGTTCCAATTTTACTTGAATTGATTAATGATTACATCTGTAATCTAAATTTGTTTGATATAATAAAATGTTTAAATTGGTCATTGGCTGTTTTTCTTTCGTACTTATCTGGGAATTTTGCATCCAGTCAAGTTAAAAGTATGTTTGACAGTCAGACTCAACATGATGTCTGCTCCAAACAAAGTCTTTAATGTCCAAAGCATGTAAACAAGGACATGCTTTACTAATAAAACATCACAAATACTAGATATATTGGGAAAAGTCTCCAAAAACTTCAAGTTAAACTTCAAGTTTCTGACATCACTGCACGTCTTTAGAGGTTGCCTATATCCTAAAAATGGGCACTCTGCAAATAAATAATTCAAATGTACTCAGAGCCAGGAGCATAAAAACACGTACATTTTTCATACACAGGACTGTTTTGGGATTTTGGGTAAACTGGTAATTTAAACTACATGTGACATCTATACCGACATTTTCAAGTGCATTTGTGAGATTGATCCCTTCTATTGTAAGTTTCTGCTACTAAAGCATGTTGCAGGTGGATATGCTGCAGGATTTCCTGAGAGTAAAAGACTAAAGTTGCCGCTGTTGCAGTGTACGGTATACCTCTGTGGCGATGCTGCGTTTTCATCGAGAACCACCGTATGAGCACAAACATGCACGCTCGGTTGGACCATATACAAGGCGCAGAGAAGCTCGGATGACAGCACATATAGAGGGAGAGTGAATTAATTCTCTGCTCAGGATGATGCTCTTCTCCGCTATATCTTCATATAACAAATTGTTTTTTAGTGCTATATCAATGACATTCACATTTAGCACCTTCATTAGATCCAAACATGGTCATAATGTATGTGCTTCAAACATCACCTCTTACAGTCAAACTATTTTTGCTTGACTGAATTCTCGCAAGTGGTTTAATTCAATTCAATTCAATTTATTTTGTGTAGCCCAAAATTACAAATCACAAATTTGCATCGGTACAGGAAAATCTCCTCCAAAAAAACCTTTAACGGGGAGAAAAAAAGGATGAAACCTTAAGGAGAGCAACAGAGGAGGGATCCCTCTCCCAGGATGGACAGAAGTGCAATAGTTGTTATGTGTTTAATTTTTAAACACATAACAACATATTTTATTTTACTTTAAAAAGGGATTCCATATAAAAAAAGAAACATCTCGGACACCACTTGAGTTGGCCTTTTATGTCAAAATGTGCACTACGTTTTGGGCTGAAAACTAATTATTTTTATGGGTTTGCTGAATAAGCCACTGAATCTGTTGTAATTAATTTTGCAGACGTGGAACTAAATATAATAATTTAGTTTAGTTAAAATGATGCAAGATGGCAGCTTCAGTTCAATCAAAGATTAGGGCCTTAGACCTTGCAGTTAAATACTTTAAAATGTTTTAATCAAAAAACAACAAGGCACAATATCCACCATAACAAGGCCAGCCTTATAATGAATCATATGACACATATTGACATACGTACATTTCAACATTTATTGGTTTTATGGTTTTAACAATAAATGATTTGTGTACAGGTAAAACTATTACATGTAAAATGTTCCTTACAAGTGTTTCGGTGGCAAATTAAATTAATAACATGCACGATGCGGTATACCATGGCCAGCATGTACACTTTGCATTTAAATTATCAGAGTAAACTATAAAATAAGACATGAGGACATTTCTGTGAAAGATGAATTTAACCTTAAATAGCTCCCACAATCACCATATAAGAAGGATTTGTTACAAACAGTGACTCGGCATTAACCATCTTTGACGATATTCTATTTAAAAAAAAAAAAAAGAAGCACATAATAAATGAAGTTCTGTCTACTGTTTTGAATCTGTAGTGGGGTCTTGCAGGGATTTTTCTGACGGCCCCTCTTGTCTGGATCTCTGCACTTTTGTCACACTAGGGTCTGAAAATCCTGAAGGATATAGGAGATTGGAAAAGGCATTGGAAATTTTGTTAAACTGGATGGAAAACAATATCTGTATCTGTTAATCTCCTCATGAGATCGCTGTGAAATGATAGCAGATAACAAATCAAATCAAGGAGACGTAGAACATTTATGGGGCAGAGAGACTTTGGCTCTGCCAAATCTGTCACACATCTAGAACAAAGATATTGTATTTTGTTGGCAGATCTCAAACTTTTCATAGGGGATCATTTTAATTCTGAATTGTTGCAAAAGATGAGAGCAGAAAAGTACAACCATCTCTCAGGATTGTTATGTGGTAAGCCCTGCTGTAAATTAGATAGAATTGAGACTATCAATACATATTAAAATAAAGACATCAATAGAATTGAGACGTGTTGTTTATTTCTTCAATATTTCACCTTAACATAGATTATGTTTAAGTAAAATCATGTAAGATCATGTATGATAATAAATAAACAACGTACCATTTGAGCCACTTTCCTTCCATTTGAGCTTGTTGTCTTCGGTGTGTCGTGTCCAAGTGGAGCGGAAGCTCACCAGCTCAGCTGTGATATGAGCGAGACTCCACTGCAGACCTCTGGAGCTCTCCTTCCACAGATTACTGTTGAGAAATAACAGTGCTCTTAGAGATATTGTTTCTTTCTTTCATGTTTAGATAACTGTGCGTTTATCTATGACTATCTTTAACCAATTAAAAATAATTGTTGTATTTCCGTTGCCTTAGAATGAGCCATTTACATACATCTACGTACTTCTATCTATCTACATTCTACATCCTCTTTTGTCAGACAACACAAACACATAGGGCCATTCATGTTTTCGCATTCGCCGCCGTAGTTGGTTGCAATCTGCAACCTCACAGCAAGATGCTGCCAAATCCTACACACTAGACCTAAACGCCAGGAAAATGTTAACATTTTGGGAAATTACGCTTATTTGCTTTCTTGCTGAGAGTTAGATGAGAAGATTGTTAAATAAGAAGCTACAGGCAGCAGACAGTTAGCTTACCTTAGCACATGACTGGAAGCAGATGAAAACAGCTAACCCAGCTTCATCGTATGGTATTATAAAACATGCTTACCAGGAAGTCATTGCACATGGCAGAGAAAGACTGTACCATGACCACCTGTAAAACCACAACTTATCGTTCAGTAGTGATCTTTAGAGGGGCTGGCAGGGTAGGCAGATATATATTGTTTAGACCGTCACAATGTCGTCACCCATGGGTTTGTGGACTGACATTCTGAAACCTCGGGTTCAACATTTTGGCCATCGCCATCTTGGTTTTTTAACTTTTACCATCTTGTTTTTCTGTAACCAGAAGGTACATGAGATGGTGGAACTACTGTAAGTACAAGCAAACTCTGAACAAGTCATGAGTAATTTTGTCATACACATTCTATGCAGCCATTTCTGCATTGGCTTCACCTCTGAGACTCGGAAGTTGCCGCCTGAGTACAATGTACATTTCCAAAAAGGGTACAAGCCTTCTTAATGTGGTACCTGTGTCTGTTGCAGGGGTCTGGTGGACCTGGGTTTTCCTCCACCAAAGGAATAACAATCTTTTCAGCCATGTCCGTCAGCAGAGAGAATGTAGGATACACAATGAAGTCTATGAAACCTTTAAGAGAAAATGTCGTTTTTTTAAAGAAATCCAAATTTCTATGTCATCCAAGTAATATGACATATTTCACTGCTGTTTCAAGACTTTACCAAACGAGTGTGATGAAAATTAAATCGAAATATCATTGAGAAGAGGACTGAGTGAAAGAAACAGGTTTTGTGAGACATACCGATCTGAGACTCGGCTACCAGGGTGCTTTTTCGATCACACAGAGGAGAGAAGGGAAGGCCGAGCTCTGCCTCTCTATCACCCTGACAAAGATAGAAAGAGAGAGAAAAAACATCTTAAACAACATCCCACACGTCGCCTGGAAATAACTTTTTAAAGGGTATTTGACTGCAACACTCACCACCTGAGACTTTTGGATTGTTCAAAGAATATCAAGCTTTTGGTTTTTTTTTTTTTAAAGTAACACAAGTCGACAAAGAAGGAAGAGGGTAAGATTCTGCTGTAGTCCTGCTGTAGGCTAACCATTGTTCCAGACAGTGGCCAGACACTTTGAAAGCTACAGTTGTTGTTTTTATGCAGTTGTTTTTAGGCATTTGCTAATTCTTCTTTATCAATACAACTTTTACCTTCACCAACATGTTGCAAACTCGCAAATGTTTTCTTTCCCCAATAAATTAATGTTCATGTGATTGATTAGGTTATAGTGTAGTCCATAGGATAACAATAACATAAATATGTTTGACATATAATCTTCAGTAACTGCAGTCATTTTGACATAAGCTTACAAATTATTTACATGACTTAAAATAATGATGATGATGATGATGATGCTTATCATTAGCTTGTATTATAATGGCCCAGGAGGTTTGGGAGTTTTGAAAGGTATCATCACCATGTCAACAATAGTTTGGTATCTGACGCATTCGTTTCTCAGAGGATATTTTTCCAGACTTACATCTGGCATACAATCTGAGCTGGGAATGTTTAAAGTGGCTTCAAGCACACAAAGTACATGTTCAATAAACCTTTCAAAGAGTCTTTCCTCTGACTGTGTCTGCTTCATACCTGTGTTATTCATGTCGTTTTATTTAGCTCTGACTAATAAATCTCTTTGAAGGTTTCACATTCCCCTTTCTGACTTAGTTGAGTGATTTACAAAACTATCGAGCTGTTATTAGTTGTCCAACCTTTTGACTGATCAATCATGCCAAGATGACAACAGATCAAACCCTTCAGAGAAATAAAGATTTATAGTAGGACATAAAAGAACAGAGAAGAAATTATCTGAGCGTATGTGAAGTTAATGTACAATGCTTGACTGAAAATATTACACGTAAGATCTGACATCCACTCACAGTGAAACTTGACAGCAAACAACACAATAACTCAAAAGCCCTTCTAGTACGATTGACTGTACATTACATTATAATGCATTGTAGCATTCTGGCTTGTTTTCTATTGTTTTTGGCCATACAACAATAATCCATGCAGAGGTGGTCAAAATACATTTACTCAAGTACTACATCTAAGTACAATTTTGAGGTACTTGTAATTTACTTAAATATCTCCATGTTATGCTACTTATTTCTTCAATTATACTTATCTCAGAGAGTCATTTTGTACTTTTCACTTCGCAACATTTATTTAGCAGCTATAGTTATTTTTCAAACTAAGATTGTACATACAAAGCATATGCTTATGTTTTATAGAATATGATTCATTGTTACAGATTAATGATTATGAATTGGGGAAGATTTAGTCTAACTTGACCAATGACAACATAAAAGTACCACTGACATGTAAACACATCAATTCTAATGATCCAAAAATAAAACAGTACATAGTAGCTTTGCTAGTACTTTAACTTTTGATACTTAAAGTACATTTTGTTGTTGATACTTTTGTACTTTCACTCTGAATTTTGGATGCAGGACTTCTACTTGTAATGGAGTATTTTTATACTGCGTTGATGCTACTTTTACTGAAGTAAATTATCACTTAAAACTTCTTCCACAACTGAATCAAAGTGTGATAATAGTAACAGAATGAGATTAAGAGAAGGAGAGAAAGAGTCACACTGTCAGTTCAGGTTTATTATTAGAGTTCATACCTGCCTGAAAAACTCCTCCATCAGGGCCGTGGTCCAGCGAGAGTGCAGTGCCCAGGGCTTGGATGGATGGCTTATGTCAGCCGTGTGGAGTAACAGAGACAGTGCTTTTGGCTTGTCAATCCTGTTGAAAATACATGATGCACTTCTTGTTTTTGAAAAAAAGCAGACTTGACACCAGCGGGCTTGACACTAATTTCTCTTTTTTGGCAGGAATCATCCGAATCGCAGTTTATTTCATGGCCTCTTGGTTGTGCACCATAATGATGTGAACGAACAGCATAGTCCATTAGTGTTACCTTTCTTGTTGTTGTAGACAGGATTTCATCCCTTTGATTTGCAGTAAGTGGGAGGACATGTCTGTGGACAGCACCATCTCTATAACAAGTGATCGCAGCTCCCTAGAAACAAAAACACACAAAGACCTTGCACTATGGGAAGTAACTGTAGATGATAAAAACAGTAGACTCAATGGGGTAAGCTCTTTTAGATTTCCTGATGAATTTTCTTGTTCCCATGGTAGCTGATTGCTTTAAAAGCCCACTATATTATGCTGCTGGTGTTTTTCTTTGGTGATATCTGCAGAGCGCTTCCATGAATAAAACAGCCACATACTGTATGTGTGATATTTTAAGCATCAGCCTCCATGATTATACATTTTATATCAGTTTGAATATTTTCTCTTCACAAACTATGTTTCAGTGCAGGATGATTTTAGCTCACTGATGACATCTCTGATTGATGGATACTGCAGTCAGTATCTATCAAGCTCTATTCTATTGCTATTTAGTGGATGAGTCACAAATCAAAAATAGTAATGTGATCTTTTATTGATTTCTGAAGGAGAAATTTGATCTCAAGAGGTCAGAGGTCAGGGTCAGCTAGAGGAGCGGCCTTGTAACCGGTAAGGACTAAAAGTCTCATTTAACGACAATCCATGTCGGATGATATATGCCCCTGTGGAGCCCCTTTCTGTCCCCTTTCTGGCCAAAGCCCCTTTCACACTGAGGCACCATGTGGGGACAAACTTGTTCTGCAGGTGAAATTTTAATGCAATGTCCCCTTTAACTATTCTATGTTTACTTATCCGTTATTAGGGGGTTTAGATCTCCTCACAGAAGCCTTGTAGCTGCTCAGATTCTTTAAGAGCTCTTTTCTGCCAAGTCTGCGTAACTATTTTCCATAAATGGTCACTCTCTCGACCTAAGTTTCTCTGACTGAAACAACAGTAAGCAACAGAATTTAAGATGGTAAAAACATAGTCGTCTTACATCCATTCCTCTCTTGTCAAATTGGTGAAGATGTTCATTTGGTCGTCCTGCAGCAGGCGAAACGCTGCACTCAGGTGATGGCTTTCCTGTACCGACCGATCATTGTAGATCAACGCAAACTCTGACCTGGCAGATGGACAGTGAAAGAGCAAGAGAGGAGGAGATCAGCACAGAGAAGAGAAAGGGAGTTTACAGAGTGTTAATAAGCATTGAAGTGTAGTTGTACAATTCTGTTGTGGTGAAGAAGGGAGGAGGTGAGAATGAATGAGATAAAAAGAGAGTCCTCAGGGAGTAATCGAAGCACAATGACTGTAATGATGAACTTGAAGTGTGGAAGAGAGAGTAGGATGTGATAAAAACAGGCACCATGTGGGTATTAATGACTCAGTGTAGCAAGCTAATTAACTAATTTCTCAATTAGGCATTCTGTGTCCACTCATTTGCATAATCTACATTATTAGACGGGTAACAAAGTACATTGTGAAAAGATTTCCAATTAGTGATAATTTGGTCAACCAAACATAAAATAAAACACTTGTGAAAATGTCTTCAAAGAAAACATTCAGCTGTGTGCTAAAGTGCTCTTCTGGGGGCTGTTTAGTTTTATTCTTCACAGAGAGGGACGCCACAGTCAGCTTGAATTCATGATGGTTACAATGTTTTTCTAATTATTGTAACTTTTCATGGTAAATAAAAAAAAAAAACCCTCAAGTAAACTTTATTCTCCGGATCCGTAATTTCCAAATACATTTACTTTCATCGGACGAGATAGTGTCCTGGTAAAAACGATGTAATTTGGCTGTAATTATACTGGAAATCATTTGAAAGGATTTCCCCTTACCCTAAGGGAGGCAACTTTGTGAACAAGCGATTAAATAAATTGAACAATAAGGTCTAAATTAAGAAATTAATCTGTTTTGTCTTCTACAATGTTTTCTATGAAAAGTGATGGTTTTGAAGAACATTACAACATTAATTGTTGCACCTTTTAAGAAATAAATAAAACTTTGTTTCTTTCTTTGAGAACGTGCTTGCCTGTAGACACATTTAAAGGTCAGCTGAGCTGCTGTGCAGTGACTAAAGGATTATGATAGCAATTAATTATAATATGAATCAATTGATTAGAAATGTACCAATTAAACACTGTCCGTTCATTGTGTAATTACCACCAATTTTGGTCATTTTGAGGAGCGTTCAGATGAATTTACTGTCACTAATCAGTTAGGAAAATATAGGAAACTATAGTACCCATAAAATAAAGACTTACAGTAACAAACATACATAGAACATCTTGTAATAAAAGCTTTGTACCTTGACTCTTTTGGGATTTAATTCCCCTTTTTGGCATACATAGAAACTTCAAATGTAACCTAGTCTAGTCCTGCAGTGTTATACACAGGTTCATATGGACAGTGGAGAAGTGCATTCTGCAGCAGGAGAGGTTTAAAAGGTTTCTATGGATGTATTTGATACGTGACTACTTGTTACTAATTAATTAATTGTTACCAAGATGAATTCAATCTGACCACAGCTAATATTCCTCATAAAGTAAGAAACAACAGTTAAGTTATAACAGACAGTATTTCCAGCCTGCAGGACACTAACATGGTATATTTTGGGCGGAGTACGACTTTAGGATAGATACTGTTTGGGTTTATATTCTGAAAATAAGACATGTGTTCTTATTGTGGACGATAATTTTTTCCAAAATAAGGCATGATGATGGGTGCCAAGAGACTACGATCTTCAGCCCTCCTATGTGGAAAATCGACATCTAAAAATACTGCGTTCCCTCCATGAAGATGTGTTTGCTTTAGTGCTCTCTCTCTATTCACTCTTTCTAAAATTGCATCTAAGAAACACTACCTTACCAGTCCTACATTGCCAGACATCTCTTACTATTTTCACAACAGGATGCAGCATAAATATAAATATGTAAATATAAATATATATATATATATATATATATATATATATATATAGAGCCAGTGCTTTATAAGACAAGGTTAGTAAAATATGTTTCAGAATAGGAGCTTACTTTGTGTGGATGTGAAAGTTGTTTGTGGTCCCTGTGTGTTCATAGTCATGGATGGCTGCGGCAAATAGTGACGCCATCACCTCAAGCTCTGTCAGCCAGTGCTTGATAGATACAAGGGACAAAACAGATAGATATAAAAAACAAACTGTATGTGTAGCAGTGTGCTACACTGCTACACAGTGGATTGTGAGAGGAACAGTTCATAATCACTTTGATTGAAATGATGAGGCTTCTTTTTCTTATCGTCAACAAATCAAATGAAAAGATCAAAACCCACAAATCATTTTTCCTTTTAAGCATTACCTGTGTAGCCAAAGCCTGATACATCTTATATATATCCGTTGTTGTCCCAAAACATTAATAAAAGTTATATGCTAACATGCTGACTAGGACAATACTAAAATACAGATATTAAGCTTGCAGGTAAAATGTTAAAAACGGTTTTAAGACTAAGATGTGTTTCCTCATAGACTGTCATTGTATAAGTAATGGACAAATTAACATTTTGACTTGATGATGCCACTAGATTAAAAATTAAGAGATTATTTATCCAGTCAGCAATCCATCCAGTAACTGTTGAGACATTTCACTGAAAGCCACAAATGTCAGCCTCATGGTGGCGCTAGAAGAAAAATCACAGGATCACCAAAGTCATTAGGCTTCATCCTCTGTGGATCATGAATGCCTTTGCAAAATGTGTGGCCATCCATCCACATGACATTATTTCTATTATATTGAATACTCTAGAAGTGAACCAAATGTGTGTCAATGTGCAGCTGAAAATGATCAACAAAAGAGTGATGTTGTGTAAAGTTTGCTTAAAATGACAGTGGACAGCAGTTTTAGCCTTTTAAAAATAAAGGGCTATACATTTGTTACCTGTTTTTTAAAATTGAAATCTTCAGTAGGAACAAATGGGCGTGCAGCTGAGGGAAGTCTGACACAGACTAACGCATTGTTGATTTGGGTCTTTTCATGACATTGCTTGACAATAAGAAATTGAAAGTATTAAAAGACAGACTCAAGGTTAAGTTATGCTCAAATTCAGAACTAGTTCGTACAACCTCGGCCTATTCATTGGATGTGTAGACAATTGAGACAATATACAAAAACACCAGTCTCATCCTTTTAAAATGTGATGCAGCACCAAAATAAATTGTATTTAGGTGAGCCAGGTGTACCACGAGTCCAGAGCGCAGAAGCAGGCAGTGCAGCGTCTGAGTCACATCAGCAGCATGAACGTGGCTGTGGTAGGGGTTTTTGTGTTTGCTGTATCCTCTCTCCAATGCAGACAGGAACTCTGTCAGACATGAGATGGGAATCTGCAAAGGGCATAACTTAATCATTAAAGTCACAGTCAAGCTTTGAAATCCAATGTTCACAAAGTTTGTGTCAACAATAAAAGCTAAGGCAGTTGTAATAAAGTCGTGGCTATGGATTGACAGGGTTTACAGTATGATGCATGTGATTTGCACACGTAATCTGGCAAACCCATTCCAAATTGATAATAAAACCCATATCGATGGCCAAAAAGCAAAACCTCCTATCTGAAAAATGCCTGGATCATTTTGCAGATAGGATATTTTGCACTTGGTGCGCTTTTGCGCTTTGGCCCTCGATATGCCTGATTAAATCTGCAGTTACAACACACATTTCCCAAAATAGCTGCGGTTACAGAAAAATAATTATCATATTACTGCAAAATTTGTTATCGAAAGCACTGATGTTCTTACATTTCTATCATAACAAATTTTATGGGAAGTGCAATATATAAACTGTGCAATAAAGTCCAACGTTAAAAGACCTTAAAACGGCTGTTGAGGCCATATCTGGTGATCAGCTCAAAGAACAGAGTTCGTAGGGAGTGATCAGAGCTGGCGGAGTTCAGAGCAAACACGTCAAAGCTCCAGCGGTCAACATCCTGAAGAAAAGGAGGGTAGAGTAAATGTGTTATTGGTACATACTTGTGATGTGTATACAATCCCTTTTGTGATGTCCGATTTATTGCAAAAACACTCGACGCGTGGAGAGATTGATGATTAGTGGAGGCTTACCCTGAGGCAGTTTACGACCACTGCAGGTTCGTCTGGCATGGCGGCAGTGTAGGCCCTCTTGAACATCCTGAAATAATGCAGTGTTTATGTTGAGTTCAGTTAAAGTTCAGATGTTGACACTGTGCAGCTAACTCGTCTCAGGAGCTGTTTATATAAATCCTCCAAAGTCCCTGTCCCCTTTGCAAGGATGTTTTAAAGAGAAAAGGAGGCTAATGTTTCACAGTGCAGTGCAGCTGTCTGTGTTTTCTGTGGCTGTGTGAGTAACAACACGGCATGAGCTTATATTAGAGTTACAGGACAGATGTGAAAGTCAGTCATTTACAATGTGAGTTTTATAGTATGAGATTATAGTTTCCTCATTTTATTGAGTCTCATATACAAAACATATAGCTGTGTGACTGGCTCTGTTTCTTCTCTGCAGCAGCTGCTTTATTACAGACAAGTATCAAACATCCTGACTAATCATAAATACAAAGCATGACCCTATAAATAGAAGATAAAATTAACAAGTGTTATTTTACCTCTCCACAAATATCCCAGCCTGCACTGCATGCACAATGCTGCGGAACTTGGGCTTCTCATCTGGGCGTCGTACAGGCCGCCGAACCCTCTGGGTGAAGGTGGAAGCCAGCCAGTCGGTGACCTCTGAAGGCACGCCGTCTGACTGCAGCTGCTGAAGGTCGTCCTCAGACTCCAGACACTGCCTGAGAGAGACAACACACAAGGGTGTGACAACATAGTCACAGACAGCAAATACTGGATAAAAGCTCTATAGGTCGCTGTGTCCAAAATCACTCCCTATTCATGATGCACTATATTTAACACCATTTCATTCGAGTGTGTTAATACAGCGTTCACTATATAGCGCCCACTGCTTTCTGCTAAAGTTATGTGACTCAAAATGATGTGCCGTCCGAAATCTCAATTGTGTGCTCATTATAGAGTAAATCCTGGAATGTCTCTTATATAGGGAGTAGTGAAAAAGAGAGTGAAGAAGTGATGTAGTGTGTTAGACCCATATACTGTATAAATTGAGGACATAGTTTCTGTGATGTCAACCATAGGTTGGCTGGGGAGCCGTTGTGAAGCTCAAAGTGGGTGACTCCAGGCGTCGCACTCTAAAATTGGAAAGAGAGGTGAATCGTTGGAGCTGAGGCGAGTTAGGGCGACAGCAGAGCAGATAGCGAGCAGATAGTGACCTCAAACCGCACCCACCTGTCACTCAAAGCTGTAATTCTTGATGTAATGTAAACGGGCAAGTTGTATAAAAATTTATCCCGTACAGTTGTCATAAACAAAGATATTAGCTAACTGTTTTCTGTACAAGGCTGTAAACATGTTTACTTTGGAGGTTGACTCCCGTGTTGGCTTCATTTCTCAGCACTGCAGGTTACGGCTCAGTTAGACCTTTTCAGTGGAAACATGTCTCATGTGATCACGATGAAACTATTCCACAGTAGTGCTTATGATATCCATTAACTTTTAAAGGAAACAATCCAGTCAGTTTACAGTTTATTCATGTGTAACCACATTAGTGTAACAGCAACACATTAGTTTAACGGCAGAACAATTACTGTTTTCCTGAAATTTTAAAAGTGACTTATTGTAGATGGTCTTTTTTTTAAATTAATGCCAATATGTGAAAGATTCATGACTTTTTTTGGCGTTTTTGTATCTGATAATCAGTGTTACACTGATATTTACAGGTGCCTTGTTAGTTATTTGAGGGCACCAGACAAAGGAAAGCAATCCATAAGTGCTTTTATTTTTCAATAAATACATCTTTTCAGATAAATAACAAGTGATACTGTCGCCTAACAACCCCCTATAAGAGTTTCTTTTGGGTGCGCCAGTTTTCTCATGGCATGCAGGTTTGCAAATTTGGTGACACAAAATTGCCCATTTACAGTATGTGAGAGTGAATGGTTGTCTTAATGTGTTAGCCATGTGACCGTCAACCTTTTTGGGGTGTACCCCACTTCATGCCCAGTGTGAACGGATGGGCTTCAGGCCCCTGCGACCCTGCTAAAGATAAGTGGCTATAGTAACAGTTTCATATAGTTCTAGTCTTTTACGCCCTTTCAGGCCATTTGTGGAACCTTTATGCTCATTTGCATTTTTACTATGCAAGTTCAAATTAATGACCTGTTCACTGAAAGAGCTAAAAGAGAGCAGAAAATATCAACATCATATTATTCCACTATATTCTACCTTGATCCATCGAGATAAACTGCCTCCAGTAATGACGCTGTGAAATCCAGATTCTTTTTGATTTCTTCAAAGTCAACATCTTTCTCCTCCAGCTGCTTGAGCATGCTCCTCAGCCTGGAAGGAAACACAGTCATTTATCTGGATGTGAACACAGCAAAATAAAAAGGCAGATGCAGTGCTGTAACTGTTTTCACCTCTCAAAACAGCAGTTGCCGAGAGGTAATAGTTGTGTGAAAATGGTTGGAGGTTACAGCAGTTTGGCATCAAAGTCTTCACCTTACATCCCACCGGATACAGCAATAAAAGTTATAGCTCCAAAAGTAAGCTCAGTTTGTACAAAATGGGCACTTTGTGTGAAACAAGCTTTCTAAGCACAGCTCTTTAAATTGACAACACAAATTGACAAGATTGTCTTGAGTTAGAGAAACGATCGCTTTAACAGGTTGAGAAATCTTCCTGAAAGGAAAGAGTTCATTTGGAAGTGATTGAAATGCCAAGCTGTCCAAAGAAAGCCAGTGGCAAAAGGGTATCATTAGTGCCAAATCTTCCATGAGAGGAAAACTTCCCATGGTTGAGGTCTTATGTAACCCACATTTTGTCAAAGTGGGCTCCAAGAAAAATTATGTTTTTGAGTCTTGGCCACATTCTGATCTTGTCTGAGAACATGTTGCTCAATTTGAAATGTTAAATCGAATTACCATAGAGAACTTTTGGAACAGAATTAATCTCCTGCAGCGCGATAAAAAGCAAATGCTGTAGCACATGTTACAAAGTTGCCCACCTGCAGCGTGTTAATGTAATCTCATCACAGTAGTAAATCCAAAAGCTTTCACAGCAGCATAAAGCTCTGATGAAAAATATCACCTGTAGTCTATAGAAGTGGAATCTTTCTATCTTTTTCTGATTGGATTTTTATTTTTTCTGTAGTCATTTGAAAGAGATTAACTTGATCTGATAACACAGATGATTTCTCTTAAACATGTTGTTGTGCTGCGTGTACGCTAACGTGACCAGAAGGATTGTGTTCAAACCGCGCCATGGAGACAACTCCTTGGGATGAGACGCTCACAGCTTTTCAAGTGTTTATCACGCTGGCAGAGGCTTTCAAAAGCTGTTGAGTCATATAAATAGCATGCATCTGAATGCCACCGCTCACTTTCAATCTCAAGTAATCTTTCATGATAACACAGTCTTTTTTGTTTCAGCTGTTCACAGTAGAAGAGCCTCTAGACAGGACGTTTACAGGAAATTACTTGTCAAGTGCACTTGTGAAACTATGTTTATAGAGAGAAATGACAAATCCTCCTTTGGCCAGGCTTTGTTGAATCTACACATAGTGCCATTTTTACTAGGTGCACAGCAATAGAAGAGTTTGAATGGTATCAGATGTGTCAGCACAAATTAAAATAGAAATATATTCATGTGTTTGCATGAATTTTATTGAGAATGAAAATGCTAACATGAACCCATATCAGATCATATTTCATACCATCATAAAATTGCTATGAATTGAAACAAAAAAAAGACTTTCATGACATGAGAAATGTATAAATTTATGGCAAACAATAACCGCAGCTCTGAACACTGCAGACACTAATACATAATTGTGTTAATCAAAACAAAACCACATGACCTATCACTTCTGCAGCACATTTTCCTACCACAGAAAAAGCATGAGTAAAGATGAGTGTTCACACAACCACTTGGAGTGACAAGTGTTTGCTCTCATGCTGCTAAGTGTAGTTGGAGAAAATATTGATGAATGCATGAAATATGTAAAATCTCTTGCAAATTAAAAATAAGAGGGCAACTCTATTGTTTATAGGATACTTTTCAAGGTAAAGATATAATTCTTTGAGTCAAAACATCTGCAGAGTGCTGCTGCATTATCACTCATCACTGTGCTGTACAGGTTGTATTTTTGACTCACATATTTCCACTGGTGCAAAACAAGAAAACTCCTACATCAGAATGTGATGCAGACCGCCTTACATTTAAAGATGTAGCATGTTTGGTGAAGTGCCCCAGCATTATTAATTCGGTCACAGAACAGCTAGACGTGTAGGTATCTAACTATGATATCATCAGTGCTAATCTTTACCCTGTCTTACCTAGAGATGGGGATCTGCAGCCGTTTCTTACGGATTCGCACCAGTTCAGCCATTCCACACTCAAGCTGTGCCCTAATGGACCCCAGAGTTCAACAAGAAAAACAATAACAGGACAAAAAAAAAGGAAAATGATTGCAGAGGCTCTAAGCAGAAAAGTTCTCCAAACCACCAACGCAAACTTTGTGTGTCCTGAGACAGACTTCTGTTTCACCAGCTCTCCCACCCACTTCTGGGGGGACCGACTCCACTTCACTCTGATTGGTTACGCAGGCCCAAACTGTGTCAGTGTGTGTGTGTGTGTGTGGGGGGGAGGAGACTGCGTCTTTGTCAGTGAGTGAGTGTTTGTGTATACGTGTACACACGTTGAGTGAAGTGTGAGTGAGTTGACCTCACTCACTGATGAAGTGTTGACTGCGAGGCTTTCAAGCCGCGTGTACTCAAATCCCCGATGAGAATTTTCCACCGCAGCCGCAAATTAGGGAACTACACAGTCTTTCACTGAAACCCACCAGAGTTACCCGAACCAAAATACATAAACAAAGCTTGTCCCCGAAAGCCACCCACAACAGCTAGATAGGTTAACTGCTGTGCTTGATACTGCACTGCACAGGAAATAGCCACCCAAACATTTAAATGCATTTTCTTTGACTGCTTTGACTGCTTCTTTTTTTTACTAATCTGTTTTAGTTGTTGATTCGCAGAATTCACCTTGCAAAAAGAAAATAAATATGGTGTCAGAGACCTTTTTTACAAAATAAAAAAAGTGCAGCCACAGAGCCAGCAGTGGCACCTTCAATCAACAGCACAGATCCTCAAATCATAATTAGGATCATATCAACAATTTACTTTATAAGTGGTGTCAAAACATTTTTATTGGAAATGTCACAACAACAAAACTCAGTGTTTTCTGGGCAGTAAAAAGAACAAACGTGTTTTTGTCCAGACACCAAAAATGGAAAGCACACAAACCTTCAAGATCAGACGAGACAATGAACGTCGTCCCTAAACACTTTTATAGTTCTAGGTCCTAAATGCATTACCGGTCTTTATTTATAGAGTATTGTGAGAGCTGTGCGACAACGTGGCTTGCATGGGAAAACCCCCTGCCTGCTGTTCGCCTCCCTCCTTGCTTGTCTTGCTTTGGCTGCTGGGTCAGACTGACTCTCATGCTCCCATGCTCTTTGACATGGCTCAACATATTGCAAAAATGATGAGAAGTAACATCGCAACATATGATTCTCCATCTCCTGTGTCACTTTGAGCTTTTTTGCTTTCACCAACATGTTTTAATGTAGCAAAAAAAGAGAATCAAGAATGCCAAAGAATGATTCTCCTGCGATAGACTTACACAGCATTCCAACTGTAATGTCAATTCAACATTTAAGAAGAGTAATTAATCTAGTGTCACTTACAATCCTTTAAAAACTCAATACGGTCTTCCCTTTGTGTGCTTGCCAGCCGCTTGCTTTACACCCTAAACTGTTTTATTTATTTTTTCTCCATCCGTCTCCCTCTGATAATGACGATCCCTCTGATCTCTCTCTCTACCTGTCTGTCCACTCAGTGATATGTGCCAATTATTACTCACTATGCCTACACTTCAGGGAGAGAAATCTGACTCTGTGGCACCATAAATCATCTAAATGTGATGTGTCTCTGCGTGGGAACTAGATGTTCAAGAGACTGAGGGTACTGAGGGGCACGGAGAGTGGAATCAAAGGGATTTTACCCAAGTCAAAGGGTTTTTTGACTGAATACAATGGTCAAAGGGTCAAAGGCTTATTATATCAAGTTTCTCTTGGATGAACCTTATACCAAGTCAACCATGTTAGTTCGAGAGAGTATTCTGCTACCTCACCATACATCTCTCCTTTAAGGAACAGTATTTCTCTTGTTCTAAATAATCCACAAAATATGCTGCAAATCATTTTATCGGAACTACTTTTCACCAAAGAAATAGTCCTTGAACACTATCGACAGTGTGTCTTATGGATCACACAGAGTGACAAGGACATTGTCTCTTTGAAGATATGTTAATATATACAGTATATATATTTTTTGTTTTTTGCCACATTAGCAGTGTGACTCCGTTGCAATGTCGCTCGGTCAGTCCACCAGTTTGGTTAGAACTCATTTCTCTACCACTATTGATGTGCTTTGCCATGAAACTTTGGTGATCTCTTGAATTTCCCTCTAAGTCTGTCATTCGGTCAAATTTTTAATTCGTCCAATAGTTTGATTCATGACCAAACTCTTGCAAAACTAACTTTGCATTTAGAGCTCATTAACTAATCTTATGTTACCATGCAAAACTAAGATAGTGAAGGTAAGAGGTATTGTGAACAGCAAGTAAGCATTATTATTGCGAGGATGTTACAATCTGAGCATTGCCATTCCGACGATATGGTTTCTATCTTAAATTTGAACTTAAACATGAAGAAACCGTGAAATGTGAAATCAGTAGCGTTACGGGAGAAAATCTGTAAATTATTTAGTTTGTTTGTAATTCATTAAACATTGAACTGGTCTTAAAATAGACAACATCCTAATTACTGTATTTTAGTTGTCATATCATTGATGAGAACCATCACAAGTCTACATGTTGCAAAAGAAAACACAGTGACACCTCACTGTACATGACACCATTCACTGAATAAACAAATCTAACTCTTCTGCTACTTTATGGTCCACAACAACGCCAGACTGAAAACTTTAGTAAAGTGTACAGTAAAGTAAACCAATAAAGGCAGTCTTACCGTTCCAGTGTGGTCCGCCTTGTCACAAGACTGAGATGTCTATCAGCTGCTCTGTGTATATTGCAAGTCGGTGTCATGACCCTCGGCTCTGAACGCTGCTGAAGACAATTTGTGGGTGTGTGTGTGAAAGTGTTACAGAAACACAGAATGAGCTTTGTGCCTGTATGTGTTACTGTAAATCCAGCATGTGTCCTCTGTTTGAATGTGTGTATATAGTGCTGTAGTTTATGTTAATCTATGCTGCTCTGTGTTTACACTCTCGGTTGTATTTATACTGTATTTTGCGGTGTGTGTACAGTATGTGTGTGTGTGTGTATGATGCCAAGTGTCAGGAGAGGCTCTGTGTCACCAACACAATCAGCAGAGAGACTTATTTCAGGACCAGTTTCCACCATTAACTGTCCTCAGGGTCTAAGGACAGGATCCACTGTTAATTTGCATGCAGAGCCTTATAACGTTTCTTGCTGATGAACAAGACTGGTGGCAGGTTGGTAAGGTTAGTGAGTGTTAGTGTGGAGTTGAAAGATATTTTACTTATTTAACTTTAATTTATCCAGGATAATAATTATCCAGGATTATCCAATTGGGATTTAAGATCTCTTTTCCAAGGGGACCACACAGGCTTAACAGACCTAAAAACAAAAAGTAAAAAAAAAAATCATAAAAAATTCACATGGAAGCGACAAGTAGCAGACTTCAAACAAACAGCAAATGACATCAACGAGTTAGTGTCATTCACCAGAACAACATCAATAGACAGACACGGTCAACTAAGCCAGGTATTAGTAGTAGGTAATAGTAGTAAGCCAGGTATTTTTTGACTTTTTGGCTCTCTTACTACAATGTATTTATTCATTGACTTTTAATTTAACTGTCAGTTGTGTTGCATGTTAAGATTTTTTTCAAGTAATGATTGTGTGTGTATCCTCCAGAAAAGTGCTGGAGGAAACAGCTGGAGAATGACAGCGAGGCCAATCCGAAGCAGCTCAGTCAGCTCTAAGATGACATCGATGCTGGACGAATTAGGCATAAGGAAACACCAGTGAAGCAAAATATTGTCTTGATACTTTGATAGCAAGTATAGTATCCCATAAATAATCTTAAAGTATGATATGTCATAAAAAAGCCAAATTATAGTATGCCAGGAATATGTCAAAAATAATATTATAGTATAGTAAGTCATTACTAATTTCATAATATTGTCTGTCATTTACAAAATCATGACAAAAATAGTGTTTTACAAAATTGTCATAATATAGTATGTCATAAAAATGGCATAATATAGTACGGCATAAACCAATGTCACAAACATTTAGAAATCATAATATTTCACAATAAATGTTGTAATATACGTAGTATGTCATATCTTTTGATGAAAATATGGTAGAATATAGTACCTCGCAAATGCTATAAAAATGACAAAGCATAGTATGCCCTTCAAAAAATATAATTAAGAATGTAATATTATTATGTCACTTTATTATTATGAACAATAAAATGCCTATGCAATGCCATTTCTGATGATTCTTTTAGTGACAAAAGTCACTGTGAACTCACAAAACATGTTTCTGGCCATAACTCAAGAATGCATAATGCTGATTATGTCAATTTCACACAATTGCCTAATAAAATAATATGATGAAGTCATGACATTTTGGACGGACCATGAGGCGATAATTCTAGTTTGTTCAAGTTCAGGGGTACGACACTCCATCCTGAAAAAGCGATGGGAACATGTCCCCTTGGACATACACACACAAGCTGCATACAAACAGGTGTGAACATCCACATGTCCAATGTGGCAACCAAAAGGATATAGCTTCAGAATAGGGTGGGAAGGGAGGAGATAGAAGAAACGGGAAGGAAATAGTGAATGTGCTGGTTGCAAAATAAAATCACTAAAGTTCCGTCTAAATTTAGAGACAACCACTTTTGGTTCTGCAAAACCGGAGTGCATTGTTTAAATTGTACATGAAAAATGACTCTCATCCAAAAAGGAAGGATGGGAGGACATTTGGGTTGGAGGACAGACTTGAAGTAGATCAGAAAAAAAACAAGTCGTACGTATATTGTTATCATCTTTATTTGTGTAAAATGTGTAAGAAAGAATGTTATACACCAACTATTAATACAATGATTTAAATCGAAATAAATGTGATTACATTCTTAAAACGTGTTTTCTTTATGTCATGGCACTGATGTGTAAAATACAAGAGGGACGTTACAGAATACACCTGATTTTAGTAATACAACAGCAGTCGTGAATCTACACAATAATCCTGACAGATAAGCATCGTAAAAGCGAGTCTAGAGTTTGTAAAATGAGGCAGGATCTTTTGTCATGTGGGTACATAAGGAACACTGTCTTGCAGGAAGCACTATATACAAATATCTAAGGCCATGATTAAGCAGGTAGGAGCATA